GATTGCTTGTGACTTGTTTAAACAAGGTTTTGACAACAGGCTTTTACCGTCGGCCAATTAACGCACGGCGGGTGCATGGCGAGAAGATTTTCGGGCTGGCATCGCATAATTTGATTCGGCAAACACCATTCTCGTTTTTAGGGTTTTGGTGCATGGAACGAGAGTACTCCGATGGGTACTAACTCTGCAATTGTAACCCAGTTTAAATATGCAGCTGCCGTGCCTGCTGGAAAGCTTGCTTTGCAGTGCTGAGAGCTTAACAATCGGTGCTGCACCCCAGTTTCGTTTGTACCCTATAGATGAGCGAAGGCAGCCGAACCACGGGCACAAACCCGAACGGAAGGCTTGAGTAAAAGACGCCATCCTGTGTGTCAGCCCGTAAATACGGAGAAGAACTATTGGCCTTGGTTTTTTCATGGGTGTATATCGGAAAATACGACGTGCGATATATGTCCTCATCTCCAGCTGCAGGTATCGCAGATAGATTACACCACGAAATGGTAGGCATAACCATAGTAACACAGCTAGAAAAGAAACATAACTGATGGAAGTTGTGGGTCGTGGGGATTGCATGGAAACGGAGCAGCCACACAGATAATAGACGTTCCCAAACGCAGATACGGTCATGCCTAAACTGGCACGATATAAATGTGGTGGACATCACGGCCAGGGATACACGGCTATTGGGGTTAGACCGTTACAATTTTACGACAATAACAGTAGTGTTTATTCCCAAATTGTGAGTGGCATACCTTTAGGCATGATCATAATGTTGGTCACATTGAAAGCATGGATTGCAGGGATCGCGGGGATGGAGGGGGTTCAAGAAAAACGAATCACCATCTAGGCATTATCCGACGTAGGCGTTGTTACCATCAAACCGGCACAGGAAGGAGGCACGGTTACCGTGCTTCATTGCAGCGAATATTGAGCAAGAATAGATCGTTAGGATTTGAAGGTGGGCGTGCAAAGAACAAAGCAAGGGGGACAAGACAAGAGGCTTCCTGGCTGAAACATGGCGAGAAAAGTGTAAGCGGTGAAAAATGGGGAACCGGAATATCAGTTCAGGTGAAACAGCAGCAAATTTAACTAAAACCTAAAACCACGCTAAGGCCTCGTGGCCTTGATCTGTTGGGCTCATAGCCGGAGCCACAAAAAGCTTAAGTGTGGAATGATGAATTGGAGGGATTAGTAAAGCGGATAAGTGACAACGCGAATATCGGAAACATGGTGTGCAGTAAAACTGGTGTCACTGTTTTACAGCCGGGGGTAATAGTTCCTCGGAAGAGTGAGATATGGGCAAAACACGGGCCGGAAAGCGAACTGTGTAGAAAGTTATTAAATTTCGCGAGAAGCACAGACACACAGAAATGGCTTAACTCGAATGAATGGTTAAGCAGATTAGAATGAATATGCCATAGAGGCAGCTGGGGTCAGGTGAGGAGCTTGTTTGTATTTCCAGTTAATGGAACGAGTGTGCGAGAGGGCGTGTTCGAGCGATGGATGAGAATAGTTGTGGGTGTGTTATCAAACTGGATATGGAAGTGCCGTGCCACCACTGGCCTGACATACTTCGGTTTTTGGACAGCCCTATACCGGACGCCACATTTAAGGTGATTGGGCTGGGGTGTGATTCACTGAGCAGCGAGATTCTTTTCAGGTAGGGAAGGCCGTGCCACCACTGGCCTGACATACTTCGGTTTTTGGACAGCCCTATACCGGACGCCACATTTAAGGTGATTGGGCTGCGGTGTGATTCACTGAGCAGCGAGATTCTTTTCAGGCTGGCCAAGGAAACGATATGGAAGGAAGCTGACTGTGTATCTCAGGTTTTTCGTCAATTTGAGGATACTGTAGATATAGAAAATAAACCAGGTGAAGTAGATAATGGTCAGTTGGACCGTCCAGAACGGATGCTGCCGAAGTTCAAAGCTTCGGAAGATAAGAGGATGGGATGGGATTAGTAAATAATGGCGGATTTGAGAAGACATCAAATGGGATGATGTGCATTAGTATACATAGAAAGAAATTGACGTCAAACGATCACTGAACTGCAAGCGATCCTATATCGGCTTCGTTCCACCTTGTTTCCCCGGCCAGCCTGAAATGGATCCCGCTGCCCGCAGGACCGCACATCCCAGCCCGATCACCTTAAATGTGACGTCCGTTACCGGACTGTCCAAAAACTGAGGCATGTCAGGCCAACGATGGCATGGCACTGCCATACCCACTCGGTTTTTGGACAA